ACGACGCCCCAACCGCCGGACATATGGGAATCGCGAAAACGATCACCCGAATTGCCAACCGATATTACTGGCCGGGTATGTTTCGCGATATCGCCGCATATGTCCGAAAATGTTCGTCGTGCCAGAGATACAAAATTTCCCAGCAGCAAGCACCCGGCAAAATGCAACCGTCCGTAAATCGGAACCCGTGGGACACCGTCTGTATAGACTTGGTAGGCCCGCTCCCGAGGTCTTCCAAGGGACATTCGTACCTCTTAGTAATGCAGGATAGATTTACTAAGTGGGTGGAATGTCAGCCACTCCGAAATGCCACAGCGCGGGCCGTAACCCAAGCCTTATACGAGAAAGTAATAACAAGGTTTGGGTGCCCCCGAACCATAATATCCGATAATGGCACCCAGTTCGCCGGTAAAGTATTTGAGGAACTCTTGACCGGACTAGGCGTCCGTCACCGGTTTACCCCGCCGTATACCCCGCAAGCAAACCCAGTAGAAAGAGCGAACAAAACGATCAAAACCATGATCGCCCAGTTCTGCGAGTCCGGCCAGAAAAAGTGGGACCATAACCTGCCTGATTTAGTGTTTGCCCTGAACTCCTCCCGACAAGAGTCCACCGGGTTTTCTCCGGCGTTTCTAAACTTTGGTAGAGAACTTGAAGTCCCCAAAGCTACCTACCGAAAACACGATTGTGGAGACACAAACGAACCCGAACCCGAAAGCGCAAATACTAACGCCGACTTAAGGTTACATGCCGACCACCTAGCCCGCATGCAAGAAATATTTGAACTTGTCCGAGTAAATCTAGCCCGAGCATTTACTACCCAGAGTAAGCATTATAACTTACGACGCCGAGAATGGAGGTGCCATGTTGGCGATAAAGTAATGAGACGGGAGGTCCATTTATCCTCCGCCGACAAAGGATTTGCCGCAAAACTTGCCCCGAAATACTCCGGCCCCTACACGGTAACTAAAGTTATTTCGCCCGTCGTGTATGAGCTCAAAGGAGAAACAGGACGAAAGTTAAACCGAATACATATTAAAGACCTGAAGCCCGTACCCAGAAATTAACACTGTTTCAATTTGAAATAGTCCCAGAACACCCGCCCCGAAACAAACCCAGCAATAGCGTGTGAAATGCCCAGAACACCTTGTTTGATATCCGACAGGATATCGCCGTGACGTCAGGTCAAAAGAAAAAGAAATGAAATTTCTTTTTTTCCGAAGTAAGGGGGGGATGTAACGAAGTTACTTTTTCCCTATTCCTACCCTGTGTTACAGAATCCCGATTTAAATGATTTATTTCACATAAGTCATAAACGACCCCGGAATAGCCCATATGTAGCGCCCCACCGGAATGACCCGTAGGACAGTCAAAGCGCACAGCAAAAAAACGGCCAGATTGTTTACTTCTGCCTTTCGACGAAGCGTTTTTATGCCAAGCAGCAACCGAGAGCACCGTCATGTCAAAAGATTTGCCACAACGCCGGGATTGGTCAATCTTGACATCATGCTGGAGGCTCGCGCAGCCGGCCCTAGGAGGGAGACCAGAGGGCATATAAGCGGGCGCAGCGCCTTCGAAGAGATCACTTATCACTTCTCATCAGTGCGACGAGTATTTCAACAGCATCCGGAACACCGACCGACCGCCGTCCCGACCGTCCGACCGCTAAAGTAAGTTGTAGTAACTAATTTTCTGTTGGTTTGTTTCAGAGACTTCCCTTTTATTTTCAAATTATTCTGTGTAAATTCATTTTCCATTTATTTATTGTTTTGTACATACGAGGATTTATTTTCAATATATGTATTAACCGAACCACCATTTATTCTTAAATTCCCCGGAACCCTGGAATTTTATCTCCACTGTTGACCCTAAAAACTACCCTCGCACATAGTGGAACTTCAACCACTTTAAACCCGTTGAAGTTGGCGCTCGAGATTTTATTAGAAAGTCAGCACGGTAAGTGACGCCAAGCTTAAAAAGGAAAGTTTTCCCCCGGGAAATAAAACCCTTTTACAAGTAGAAAGGTGAGTAATGGCTTATTTTAAAGGCCTATTAGAGACCTTTTTATGATATAATATATCATATCACATGACCTAAATTTTTTCAAAAAAAATAATAAATTTTAAAAATTTGATATGGATTGACCCATACAAATACAAATTATCTCTAAAACAAATCATTTTATCAAAATTTTATAGGAGACAAAAAATTTTCAACAACAAATGATTACCTGAAAAAATACCGTTTGGAAGTCATTGGCGCATGTACTAAAAATAGGGGGAGTCAGTGAGTACTGGACCCCCCCTATTTTGAATATTTGACAATTGTTTTTTGTTTTGTTGGTCTCAAAAAATGTAACTATTTATGTTGAAGTAGTGTACCGAATTTAAACTTAATATCTTATCAATTACTTGAATTATTAAAAAAAATCAGTTTTAAATTTCAAACTTTGTCGCCCTGTATATCGAACATGAAGCTCTAAATTGAAAAATGGTATTATGAAAGTCTTATTGTTTTAACTCAAAGAATATATGGTTAACGGATTGACCTCCTTTTCCCGGACACCCTGTATAGCAACTACCAGAGAAAATTTTCAAAAAATTATCGCTGTAATTCGCTGTAGGTTCCCTCAACAACAATGCCTCAACAATGTCCCAACAATACAGAGAACTGTCAAAAAAAATAATCAAAAATATTCTTCTTTTATTAGGTTATACATTAAATAAAAAAAAAACGAAAGAAATATTTTATAAAAGTAGAGATAATTTTATTAATTGACAGGTGTGGCCCGGAAATATTTCTTGCGTTTTTTTAAATTATTGTACAGTAGACTGGGCCAAAAAAATCAACTAGTTTTTTTTATGAAAAGTATATCAAAAATATGGTTTGGGGTGACAAAAAAAAAATTATTGTGAAAGTTTGAGTCCATAATATTAATATTAAGAGGTCTATCATAGCAATTTTATTTTTTTTTCCTCAGCAATTTTTAGGCTCAGAACTCCCAAACCATTGAGTTTAACAAAATTGACTTAAAAATATTTTTTTAAGAAAATTAAATGCTCTACAAAAAAGGTTAAAGTGAAATTTTTCGTCAGATGAACTGTTTCCTTAAAGTCATGCCTTAAAAATTGGTATAGTTTTACATTTTGATCTTTTAAATTGGAATTTTGTAATTCATGTAAAAATCAGTACCCATAAAAAACCGATAAATATTCTTATGGGAAATCAAATGCTTTACAAAAAAATCCTCTTAACATTTTTGGCTAAATTCACTCAATCAAAAGTTATTCAAGGTTAAAATTTCGTTTTGACTTCAAATTTAACCTTGAATAACTTTTGATGGAGTGAATTTAGCCAAAAATGGTAAAAGACTTTTTTTGTAGAGCATTTGATTTCCCATAAGAATATTTATCGTTTTTTTTTCAGGGTACTGATTTTTACTTGAATTACAAAATTCCAAAGTTTTAAGATCAAATTGTAAAACTATACCAATTTTTAAGGCATGATTATAAGAAAACGGTTCATCTGACGGGAAATTCCAATCAAACCTTCTTGTAGAGCATACAATTTTCTTCAAAAAAATATTCTTAAGTCAATTTTGTTAAACTCAATGATTTGGGAGTTCTGTGACAAAAACTCGCTCAGGAAAAAAAAATCTAAAATTGCGATGATAGACCTCTTAATATTAATATTATGGACTCAAACTTTCACCATAATTTTTTTTGTCACCCCAAACAATATTTTCGATATACTTTCCAAAAAAAATCATTATTTTTGGCCCAGTCTAATGTACAGCCTAATAAGAATATATTTGACAATTTTGATGCAAAAATAATATATAATAAATTACCTACAATTTTTTTTATAAAAACAGTTTTGTAATTCGTGCGTTTGGCGCTTTGGAAATGGCCGTTTAGTTAAATTTTGTTTATTTGGATACTAGAAATATTGTTTCAAAAGTGAAATCGGACAAAACTATGTAATTACAAAATTTGGTCTAAGTATATAAAATTAACGTAGAAACAGTAGCGTGCCGTGGGTCTAAGGGCGGGAGGGGCGAGCTATCTTAAGGGCGGCAATTTTTTTATTTAATAAAAAATAGGGACTTAAAATCAGGTATAAAAGTAAACGAACTGACAATAATTATTATTAGTGACGTGTTTAATAAAATACATATTAGTTTATATTAACAATATTTATTAAAATTAAATTATAACAACAACCTTCGTGTTTTTACACCTTTAATAGAATCTAAAACCTTATCGTAATCTATCATTTGTGCTTTTTCAGATTCAATACATAGTAAGGCCAAGTTGTTTGTCCTTTCCTGTGTCATGGTGCATCTTTGATAGTTAATAATTTTGTTTAGTCTGCTAAAAGTTCTTTCCGCTCCTGCGCTATTATTTGGTATGGTGTGAAAAATTTTTAATAGATTGCATAGAGCTGAGTATGACGAAACTAAATTATTTGAAATTAAAAAAGTCAGCAGTATTGCCATCTATTAGATACATCTGCTATCTATTAATGTCTGATTTTTTACAACAGGGTAGCACTGATTTTTAATAACAGACGGCAGGTGGACCAGCGACAGTGGTGCTACTGATGGAAGAAAAAAATAAATAACCTGCCTATAATTTGTATAGTAAATAATTACTTGGAAAGATCGTTGGAAAGGGCGCTCTGGGCAGAGGGGCGGGGGGGGCGATCGCCCCCCCTGGCCCCCTATACGGCACGCTACTGCGTAGAAATTATAGTTTTTGAGATATTTCAATTAATTTTGAAAAATAGTAAAGATAATTTCTTTTCTAAAATTCCTGTTATTTGCGGTCAACAATTTTTGATATCAAAACTCAATTATCATATTTGAATGTTATTTTAACTTAAAACGATAAATTTTATCTACAATGTTTAAAACAATTATATAACCATAAAGTTTGATTTTATTAATTACCTACTGGATAATAAATTGTAAAATGGCAATTAAAAGTGTTATTACTTACCTATAATGTAAAAAATACAGGAGGCAATCAAAAACCCAGTCAACAAATATGATAAACTGGTGGAAACAAAAGGGCTGCCAAAACGACACCAAATAAATAACCAGGCCATTGCATATGCTAAACCAAGAACCAAAGAAGTCGTCGATCTCTCTACAATCGATAATAAAGTCAATATTTACCATAATTAATTATTAACTTAGGGTACTGACCTTCAAAAGTAAAGTTGCCGGTTAAACTAACAACAATGTATGTTATAAGAACTCCGGAAATATATGCTGATATTGTTATGGAAGTTTTGTAAAAATAATGCCCTAATAGGCACACAAACATCCCAAATATTAGGTATGTGGCACAAACGTACTTCCAATGAGTTGTTGCTAAAATTATTGGGATTTTATTGAATTATATACAGGGTGTCCGGGAAAAGGAAGTCAATCCGTTAACCATAATATATTATATTATAACCATAATATATATATATTATATTCTTTGAGTTAAAGCAATAAGACTTTCATAATACCATTTTTCAGTTTAGAGCTTCATGTTCGATATACAGGGCGACAAAGTTTGAAATTTAAAACTGATTTTTTTTAATAATTCGAGTAATTGATAAGATATTAAGTTAAAATTCGGTACACTACTTCAACATAAATAATTACATGTTCTGAGACCAACAAAACAAAAAAACAATTGTCAAATAATAAAAATAGGGGGGGTCCAGTACTCACTGACTCCCCCTAATTTTAGTACGTGCGCCAATGACTTCCAAACGGTATTTTTTCAGGTAATCATTTATTGTTAAAAAAAATTTGTCTCTTATATAATTTGTAAACTATGGGTCAGTCCATATCAAATCAACTAAAGGTTCTTCCCCCACCATCTCCGATTTTGATAATTTTTGGTAAATTTGTTTACCTCACTAAAAAACTCAAAAATCCCATATATGATTTTTTTTCGATGGGTGGTTTTTGTTTTATTGATTTTTGAAAATCAAAAAATTCCGATAAATTTGGGTTTTGCAAGTACTTACAAAAATAGCGATATCTCGTAAACTATTAAAAGTAGAAAGATGAGTGATGGCTTATTTTAAAGGCCTATTAGAGACCTTTTTTATGATATATCACATGACCTAAATTTTTTCAAAAAAAAAATAAATTTCAAAAATTTGATATGGATTGACCCATACTTTACAAATTATCTCTAAAACAAATCATTTTAACAAAATTTTATAAGGGACAAAAAATTTTCAACAATAAATGATTACCTGAAAAAATACCGTTTGGAAGTCATTGGCGCACGTACTAAAAAATAGGGGGAGTCAGTGAGTACTGGACCCCCCTATTTTGATTATTTGACAATTGTTTTTTGTTTTGTTGGTCTCAAAAAATGTAACTATTTATGTTAAAGTAATGTACCGAATTTAAACTAAATATTTATCAATTACTTGAATTATTAAAAAAAATCAGTTTTAAATTTCAAACTTTGTCGCCCTGTATATCGAACATGAAGCTGTAAATTGAAAAATGGTATTATGAAAGTCTTATTGTTTTAACTCAAAGAATATATGGTTAACGGATTGACCTCCTTTTCCCGGACACCCTGTATTATATCTAAAAACTCGGAAATGGCTCAACCGACTTGAATATTTTTTTTTGTTTTATTCGCCTTAATACAGGGGTTATTTAAATAAAAATACATTAGGAAAAACCGAAATGAACAGCCGAAAAATCAAGATGCAACTTTGGATTAATTTGAATAGATGGCGTTCGTAGCTGTGCTTCAGATTAAATGAAAAAACATAACCACAAATTAATTCATTAAATTGTTTTAGCGAGAAAAAAGTTTATATAATAAAATTCTCAATTGTTTAAATTAGTTTAAATAGTAAAGTTCTCAAAAATAATAAAGAATTTTATTCTGGTTATATCTAGTAATCCAGGAAACAAAGATTGTAGAAGGAAAACTCGATGGTAGTCGGGTTTTATTTTTTTTATGTAGAGTCAGGGGTGCTGATAATGAATCAAGAATATTCCCCAAAAATTTCTTTCCGCGTCCCCTAATTTCCTCCCCCGAAAGGGGAGTTTTTTTTGCTTTTTGGCTCATAATTTGCTAACCGTGCATTTTTTCAAAATTTGACCTCTGATACTTTTGATTATGTATACTAAATACACATTAAACCCCAATGCGCACCTATATGATGTACCCCTTTGCTATGTGCAGTGTGCAAAGTTGAGCGTTGCTTTCAAAATATCGTTTTTGATTTTTTATAGACCAATTTTAAAAGTAATCGATCCCAAACCTTACGGTAATTAAACATAACCGAATGGACGATTTTTTGAGGTACTAGACTTTTTCAAAAGTTACTGCTTTTCAATGTACAGGGTTTTTTTTTTCAAAACTTTAATTTTTGTGGGGCACTTAGGTACAATTAAAATAATTTAAAAAAAACTACGGATTCGTTACGAGGATAAGTGTACCTAAAAATCTAGTGTAGAACGAACTGGCTCATTAAAGCCGTTTGGGAAATAAAAAATGGGTTTTTTGAAAAAAGAACCCCCTGTACATTGAAAAGCAGTAACTTTTGAAAAAAGTCTAGTACCTCAAAAAATCGTCCATTCGGTTATGTTTGATTACCGTAAGGTTTGGGTTCGATTACTTTTAAAATTGGGCTATAATAAAAACAAAACAGTGATTTTGAAAGCAACGCTCAACTTTGCACACTGCGCATAGCAAAAGGGCACATCATATAGGTGCGCAACAGGGTTTAACGTGTGCCTTATTTAGTACATAATCAAAAGTATTAGAGGTCAAATTCTGAAAAAATTCAAGGTTAGCGAGTTATGTCCCAAAAATCAAAAAACTCCCCTTACGGAGGATGAAATTTTTGGGGAATATTCTTGATTAATTATCAGCACCCCTGAAATAAAAAAATACAACCCGACTACCATCGAGTTTTCCTTCTACAACCTTTGTTTCCTGGACAATGGTTAATAAAAAAAAAACTTACATGGTCCACTACAAGATTCACTCCAACTATTAATATAATCACAACCAAATGAAATAGCTGGTACATATGCAGAACTGGCATTGTTATAAGTGGCAACAACCACAAAAACCTCCCCAGTACCCCTATAAGTACTATACAGAGTCCTATATTTATAATACCCTTCATAATTCCTAGCTCTGTAACCATTTTTAACAATATCTTCCACTTTAATCATCTTTAGCAGATAATCGAAATATATCGCCTCAGTATTGTCATATTCAGGCAAAAATAGGTGGTATTTGTCTATTTTAATGGGGTTTTTATCACAATCGACCCCATAGCCTGACGGGGCCTGAAAATCGACTCTTATAAGATCGTCAGTGAAAGATAACATCTGGTATGGGGCCACTTTGTTGTTAAACGTTAAATTGCAACCTCCTGGTACAGGATCTGTATCTTTATGTATTGTAACGACAAGTAAAATATTAATACTCCTCTTGTATTTTTTATTTACAGAGAAAAAGGCAGTCGAGTTGTCATCTGCATAGATTAAACCTATATTCGTTCCAATTACTCTGGAATGAATGTCACTGGAGTTGTTAAAAGCCAAAGTTACGTTGGTTAAATAACTATGAACTTGTACGACAATAAAACCAACATTATCGCCTATATTACTAATAATTATCTCCGAATAATCAGTGGAGAAATTATGAAACTGCATAAATACGTGCGTATCAACATCATCGGGTTTATACGTGGATAAATCAAAATTAATAACATCACCATATCCTAAAATTAGCATTTGGAGGTTATATTATTAAGTCGTAAAAACAACTTACCACCCGCGAACACAGCCACCAACAACACTAATAGCACCTTGGAAATCATTATAATTCCCTGAAATTTACATTTCCTAATTATTTAAATCACAATCAGCTGTTCAGACAAAGCCAGCAAAACAAAACAATGCATTGACGTTTACGTAGTCGAAATTGTGACCGCGCGGTGGCAGCACACGCACAGCGTTGCCGGACCTCCTGTTTTGCAGTAAGTTGCTATAGAGTAATTGCATCAAAAATGAAAATCCCTAAAAACCTTTTTATTGTAATCTAGAGGTAAAAACACATTGCGAAAATATTTTTTTATATTCCAAAAGTTCAACCCGGCCCCAAAATATCAAATTGAAAAAAAGGTACTTTTCAAACGTTCCGAACTCCCGCCATATTGCATGACGTCATAAGCTTCACCAGCTGTCAGAAATCAAGATGTCAACAAATAATAAACACCGATAAAGTTTATGTTTAACATGGAAAACGCGAAACCAAAAATTGGTTGTAAATATTGTTTTGTGCCTTGTACAAATACAACCTGGAAAACTCCTGGGAAAAGGTTTATCACCGTGCCAAAAGGGAAAATAAGGATAAAGTGGATTAAAATAGTTCGGCGCGATATCAAAACATCGTCACCATTTTATTGCTCATTTTAAGGATCATTTTAATGTAAGTAAAATAAAATGTCGTTTACTAGGTATATGGTTTGAATAGGTATGTTAAATATTAATAAATTCAAGAAAATACGGCTGAGCCGTAACTACTCTAAGTGTAGGGTCATAAACTTTGCTTTTGATAATTGAAGGGACAACTTTCCCAGGAGTTTTCCAGGTTGTATTTGTACAACAAGGCACAAAACAATATTTACAACCAATTTTTGGTTTCGCGTTTTCCATGTTAAACATAAACTTTATCGGTGTTTATTATTTATTAACATCTTGATTTCTGACAGCTGGTGAAGCTTATGACGTCATGCAATATGGCGGGAGTTCGGAACGTTTGAAAAGTACCTTTTTTTCAATTTGATATTTTGGGGCCGGGTTGAACTTTTGGAATATAAAAAAATATTTTTGCAATGTGTTTTTACCTCTAGATTACATTAAAAAGGTTTTTAGGGATTTTCATTTTTGATGCAATTACTCTATTCTACTAATATTTTTATTTTTTGAGATAACAATAACAACATATAGGAAATGTTGGTGAATATAAAAATATAAAGGAAGGTGAATAATGTCAAAGGGTTTTGGAATAAAAATGAAAAGATATACATTATGCAAATATTTAAATACTGGTTTCTTTATTAATCACTTGTGTATTTAATGCAGAGTTATTCAAAAAAGAATTGCGTTTAGATGTTTAAAAAATTATTACCTAGAAAGTCAAGGTAATTATTTAATTTCAAATTTATATATTTTAAATTCTTTAAATTTTTTACCTGATAAATTGCCTAGGTGGTTTATAAATTAAAATATAAACAAAGAAACTTATATTTAAGTTTTAATTTAATTTATCATCATAGCAGCTGCTTTAGTGGTTTTTCGGGATTTTTCTTCGAAAACTGAATATCCTCTGACAGTGAGAGTTGATGCGGCAACGCTGTATACGCGCAACATGGACGTCGCAAATCAATGAAGTTGTAGTAAGGTGGTTGTAAAATAGTGTACAGTGCGTAAATGCGTTGTTATAAATGAATTGCAGTGCTTCTGTGAGGCATGGGGAAAGATCAGGAATTACTGGAGGCTGCACGTAAAGGCAATGTGGCCGTCGTGGAGAAAATACTGGGACAGAGGGCCAAAAGGAGTGGCCCACTTGCAAGGTGGGTTAGAATCAGCTGTCAAGTGCATTTGTTTTTAACGATATATCCCTATTTCTGACTTTACGGGATTGATTTGAGTCTTATCTTCGATTACAATTTAATCGAATTGTGTCTGTTGATGATTCAATTGAGCGACCGTAGCTTATTTCCTGTCTGCAATCGGATAACAAGTGTTTCATTAATTTGTTTATTTAATAAGTGATTCATTCACATTTGACAGCTATAAACAATGAATTATGCAAAGGTCACTGGATTCAACTACTAATATTAATTTAATTGGCCAATTATTGCTTTCACTTTCCATCCGTCTACTAGATTTACTACCTACTAAACTTTTAATCACTAAATTTCATATAAAATCTTTCAATGAAGAAATTCAATATGTGTTTAATTGCAGAGTGTTTGCAATTGCAGACACCTTTGAGGGTGTTAAGAGGCCGTCGATATGAGATTTACGGATTTATTCTTTTTGAAGTGTTTGCACGTACGTTTAATCCGCTAATATTAAAAGTAATAATAACACCCTTTATTGGATTCTGTCAGACCCCTTTCAGCCTGTTGCACGTTATTATTTTTCGAATGCATTTAGACGCATATGACAACAACAATTGTTTTGACAACAAACAACACATTCTATTCATATGTAACTTATCTTTTTGTTTTGTTTTAACATAAGTAGGTAGAATGTTAACTGTAGGTAAATTCCCTATTGTGTTATCTAATTTTTTAAACGTTTATAATTGTTTACATTACCGCGTGTTTTTCAAGTTTTTTGATGAGTAGATAAACGTCGTTAAGGTCAATAAAGAGTTTCCGCTCCATGTATCATTTTATGTGGTTATGTTTTTTCCAATACATTAGTTATTCTACAATGCATTTTAAAGGTCATTCAGATACTTTTCTTTTAAATGTCAAATACCTATTAAAAATAAAACATAAAATGTTCTATTTAAATAAATGTACCGAAACACTAAATAATAGAAAAAAACTCTACCAAGGACCCTTTTTAATTGAGGACACTTGTTTCTCCTCAAATCATTAATACTGACATTATGGTCCCCAAAAAGGACGCAGGACATGATGATCCTTTTAATTAATTCCTGCAATTTCCCGTCGCATCATCCCTATCAAGTCATCTCGTCCTGATCCTTTATATTACTTTAATGGCCTCATAACACTAACATACAGAGCAATAAATAAAACAGGGCCGACTTCTGTTTATTATCAGTTATGTTTCCTAACTTGGTGACTGCACCCCTTAATGCCATACGGAGTGTTTAAATGATTACATACATACTTAATTTTTAAATTAAATAGGTTTTTGATAGGTAAGTAGGTAGTTAAAAAAATGTTTTACATATTTAATATAGATCTAATAATTTTAACTTTTTTTATGTTTTTTATGATTTTTCTAAATTCATATTGATTTTTTAATTTGATTATAATAATTTATAGCAATTTCAAATTTTAACGAATTTATAGAAATTATATTTTTAATAGGTTAATACCTAGGTAGGTTGGTTTTATTACAAAAAGTATTTTCCATGTTTTTAACATTATTATTATTTAAGATTATTATGTTATAAACTTAATATTTTTAATAAAAACGACTTATTGAGCTTTAAAGCTTGAATTACATTTTTGACAAAAAACTTTAATTACAACATGTAAATTATCCATTATCTTTTCACAAAAATGCATTTTCAACCTACCCAAGCAGCATTTTAAGTAAAAGCGTAGAGCTTTGAGGCAATATTACTTAATTTAAGTAAGTAAATATTTTGTTAAATTAACCTTAAAAATTTACTTTGAAGTAAAATTTAACGGTAATTTTTTACTTAATAGTAAATACTCATAAGTTATAATTACGGTATTAAGACCACTTTATAACCGTAAATAAATCCTATTCGTCTGGTATTTTTTAGGTTTATTAGTGGTAATACCTACTATTAATATTGATCAAACAAGGAAAAATAAGCTTAAAGTGAAAAATAAAACTTTAAGTGAGAATTTTTTTCAGGTCGCCATACCTACTTATCTAGACATTTATTATAACCGTTAAATTTACCTTTTGGTGAAATACACTTATAAGTAATTTTCTTTCGTAAAAATTACGTCCCTCGTAATACCTACTCTAAAGTTTTGAAACTTAAGGGATATTAAAATAGGTAAAAATAACATAAATAACTTTAAATGATTTACCTATATAATATTTTTTCATAAATATTTTTCTAAAATATAATAAGAAAAGTTTTAGTTATTAAAAAATGATTAAAACTAAATGATTTTTAAAAGATTTTATAAAATTTTGTAGGTTTTAAGTTTTGTTGAATTTTTACCCAAGCAATAATTTTTCTTAAAACCGTAAAATATTTAGCGGGCATATAATTTTTAGGATGTACCTATCGTGCCTATTTTTATCAATAAAATAATGTGCAGTTTTGACAATTTAAGTTATATTTTTTAATTTTACTCTAGGGTGGCCTTTATTACTTTGTAAGAACATTTTGTAAAATATAAATTAAAAGAACAAAGAAATTACGAATGTCAATGTTTTAGAAAGAGAGAGCAAACAGTTAGTAATTATAGAGTATTTTTACGTAAATTTGTGGTATTTATATTGTTTTTATTACGTTATTCTCTTAGTAGATCAAAAAGGTTATTATGTAGGTAAAATAACGAAATAAACCATTCCCCAAATTTGGTAATTTTTCTTATGTACCTATACCGGTGACTTAGTAGTAAATTTGTAGTTATTTAAACTTAAAATGCTGCTTGGGTACATATTTGATTTTATATACGATTTTGGTACGATACAACAAATTTTTAACAATTAGTTTGTTGGCAAATAAAGTTTTTATAGTTTTTCCTATGTTATGGTTTAAATCATATTTGTTTGTTAAACTCGGGTGATTAAAAACTGCCCTTAATTTAATTTATCTAAAACCGGCTAATTGAAAACTGCACATTAAACTTAATGTTTGTGGTACATAATTGAAAAATAGTTCAAAATTGGATGATTAAAAACTGCCCTTACATGTAATTTATCTAAAACCTGGTAATGGAAAACTGCGCATTACAATTAATATTTATAAAAATCGGATGGTTGAAAGCTGCGCGTAAATTGAATTTCCCACCCCGAACAGGGAAAATTCCGGTTTGGTGCGAAAGAATGCATGGCGCAACAAAGCGACAAACAAGGGTCAAGATGAAAACTAGTAACGCACGGAATTCTCTGTTTGGGATCGATATTACGCCACTGTCTAAATATTTTAGCCACACCCTATAAACAATTGGTGCAATAATTTTTATAATTTTAATTATAATAATTTTTATTAATTTTTTTTTAAGTAAATTATTTTTCTTATGACAAAATTTTTTTTTTACAGCCTACGAAGAGGCCCTGGGGCAAACGTCCAGGATAGCAGCGGGTATTCCTCCTTACACCACGCCGCGTTAAATGGCCATTCGTAAGTAAAAAATTGGATCAATATAACATATTTTCAATTTTCGAGGTAAAAAAAAGTATCGCCCAACGTGGGGCTCGAACCCACGACCCTGAGATTAAGAGTCTCATGCTCTACCGACTGAGCTAGCCGGGCTTCTGTTTATATTACAAAACATCCAGTGGGCGATATCTTTTCATAGCCTTCTATCGCGTTCCGATAACTTTGCCTTTTATATAAATTTTCAATGTCAAGTTCGATTATTATATTGTATTACGCATATATGAATGTTTTTTAATACTTCTTTGTAAACAGTAAACAAAGTGATTCATTTGATTTGTTCTTGTTAAAAAATTATGATTGTAAAAATTGAATTTTTATTTTAGAGATATAGTTAAACTTCTTTTGGAACACGATGCGTCCACGAATATTGTGGACGGAAAGGGATCTTCGCCGCTACATTTGGCAGCTTGGTCCGGCAATGTTGCCATTGTTAAGCACTTACTTTCCGGACCGTCTATATGCAATGTTAACTTATCGGTAAGTTTATTACCACGCGGTAAATAATAAAGTTTAAGGTATTGGAGTTCGCTTTCGTCCCTGGTGGAGTTCGTTATTGCTCTATGAAAAAGTAAGTGAAATATAAGTGACTTTGCGACCCAGGAGAGACGAGATCGGATTCCCAGGGTAGAAATACACTGGCTTTAATCAGAAATATATAAATACAGGGTGTTTCATAATATATGCGCAGGACTTTAGGATGTGATAGCTCATCTAAAAATATGAAAAAAGTCGCTATTAACTTACCCTCTAAAATGCACAATTTTCGAGATACAGGGTGTTGAAATTTTAGAAAAAAAATCGTTTTTTTCGATTATCTTTGGAACCGCTTGTCGTACAAAAAACAGCTTTTGTAAGCATTTTCTACTCATAATAAGCTATGTTTTGTGCCAGAAAAAAATTACTCATAATTGGTGGAGATTTTGAAGGGGTAGCGGGTGTTTTTCTCCTCAACTTTAACGCCCCTGAAAAAAGTACGGTTTTGAGAGGCCCATTCGAACCGCCAATGTTTGCTACACAAAAAAGGTACTCTTGGTCATAAGCTCTAAAGTTGACCGTTTTCGAGAAAAATCAACTTTTATGTTTAAAAACATGTTCAATTTAAAAAAAAAATAAATTTATTACTAATTAAACAAAATTTATTTTAACTTTAGAAAAAGTAACAAAACCAAACAATAATTGCAAAATTAAAAAAAAAATAAAAAATGATTTTTTACACAAATGCTGAAATGTTCGAAATGCGTTACCTTTACGGTTTGGAGAATTTAGCAAAGACAACTTTTGAATCATTTTTTATTTTGCAATTATGGTTTGGTATTGTTACTTGTTCTAACGTTAAAATAAATTTTGTTTAATTAGTAAATTGACCATGTTTTTAAACATAAAAGTTGATTTTTCTCGAAAACGGCCAACTTTAGAGCTTATGACCAAGAGTACCTTTTTTGGGGCCTAGAAGTTGAGAAGAAAAACACCCGCTTTTTTTCTGGCACAAAACATAGCTTATTTTGAGTAGAAAATGCTTACAAAAGCTGTTTTTTGTACGATAAACGGTTCCGGAGATATTCTAAAATTTCAACACCCTGTATCTCGAAAATTGTGCATTTTAGAGCGTAAGTTAATAGCGACTTTTTTCATCTTTTTGGATGAGTTATCACATCCTGAAGTCCTGCGCATATATTATGAAACACCCTGTATATGAAAATATTCGAAAAAAGAAACGGATGAATTAAGATTGAAATATTTGAAGAAATCCTGTGCATATAGCCATGTGGTGCATTGTTTAATGAAAATTGAACATGGTGATATAAAAAATTGAATTAACCAGTATATATATGATTCAAGGGATGAGTTAAACTCATGAGTCTGCAGACTCTCTTAAATGAGACCATTGATCAGTAAAGAAAATTTAAAAAATGGCTGGCCAAATAGTGTTTAAGTACGCTAAGGCCATTAAATCTAAAGAAGAAGAAGAAGTTTAAGGTAAAAAAAAACGCTGTTAGGTCACACATCTAGACGTTTTTATAAATTTTTTTGACAAAGCATAAAATTTGTAATTGGGTCTTTCCATGTAAAATCGATCGTTGCAATTTTTTTTAAATTGTAGGTTAATGCTTACTACATAAAAAAAAATTTAAGTGAACATTCGAAACATTTTTGGCCAAGTTATCGCATTTGTAATTTTTAAAATATAGGTAACTATATGTATATTTACGGCATATTAGCGTAATAAAATCAAAACCATGACTTAATCCTTAAAGCCTACATACACAAAACCCATAGATGAAGTAGTAAAACCGGGAATGCTCAACCAATAAATCAACTAATCAAAGCCCATAGACAGGGCCCAAAACAGATCCCGTATTTGTAAACGGCCGTTTGAGATCGGCCAGCAATTGAAGTGATTGGCAGTATAAGGACCCATTTAAGCAGTATTAATCACCGACGATTTTCGTGCAAAAGTCCTGCACTTAGCCACTTGAGCGGGCCGGCGACTCTTTCGGGCCATTCAGACGCTTAATTAGAAGTAAAGGGGCCCCTTTGCGACAATACGGTTATCGACGGGGGGTCGGCTTTAGTATTCCTGCATATGGTGTTGTTAAGTTATAATAAGGGCAACATGGTTGTATGGTGGGTTAAAGGAAATAAGGAAATTGGGCACTCTTTAATGATAATTTGAGAATGGGCTGAAATAGGTACCTTAAGGTATACAATTCAATTAATTAAAAATATACATGCAATATTAGATAAAACATTTTTATATCGTCATATCTATGGCACGCTGTTTTACTTTTTAATGTCATGTTTATTAAAGCTAAATATTAATTCAAGTTGCGTTTTTAAAAATTGACTGAACATTTTAAAGTAAACATTTTATGATGTCTTGGTATATTAAGTATACAATAAGAATTAAAGTATTTTTAATTCTGGAACTGAATGGCGTATTTTCTTACTAAAAAATTCGATGAATTTGGGTTGAGATTATTTTAATAAGGCGCTACTTGAGAAACACGCAGTCAAATTGAAATTATATAAACCAAAATTTTAATTCATCGAATTTCTTAGCCAGTTAATTCAAGGTGCGCGACATTTATTTAAGAAAAAGTAATACTGAAATTATCATTATGTCGCAATTATTTTCTATTATTACTCGTCGACATTTACCTGTTATTTGTTTTAATATTTAAATGTTTTTAATATTACTGAAAATTTTATTTGACTAATAAGAATTGAATACAATTTTATTTTTATTATTATTTTTAAAAATTTTAATATTTACTATTTAATTTTAATACGAATTATTTTGTTGTTTAAAACACTTTGAAACAATTTTTATACTGGATTTTTTTTTAGATAATTCAATGCTACTTGTATGTGACAAAATAATAATTCCTTATTTTTATTGTTTGGAATAAATATTATCTACCTCGAATTTTCTGACTGAAAAATTCGCTGAATTAAAATTTTGGTTAACAGAATTTTAATTTGGCGCTAGTGCATACTGCGGTTGTGTTACGTACCACTGCCACCAAACGAAATCACATAAGCTCGAAAATAAATTAGGCAACGGTGCATTCAAATTCAGTGCTGCCATTTTATTTACTTACCTGTTTTGCTTTCCTTAATTTCTTACCTAATTTATTAATTAATTTATTGAAATAAAAATAAAGAAAATCCTTTTTACCAAAATATTGGTTTTTATTGACTAAAAGATAAAAAACAATACAATATTTTCAATCCACCATTAATGACATTAATGTTAAGTTGTTATTATTATTATTTTCAATTACGTCTTATATTCTTTTTCTATGCTTATTACTGTATAGGTAGTCGGCTCGGACACGTAACGAGTAGGACAATTCTGGTAATTATATAAATATCTTCTTCTGCGAGAAATCCTATTGCATAGACAACTAAGCAAATAATGAACCACAATTAAATTGTCTATTAGGAGATTCCATATCTAAATTATTTCGTATAAAGTAAGGTTAGCCAGCAGGGCAGTCTTGTTGAAATGCACCCCTTACATAATTTAATAATCATTATCATGTCGATATACATTTAATGTTTTACATTATTGATAGCACTGAAAATTTTGGACTGCACTGTTGCCTAATTTATTTTCGAGCTTATGTACCTTCGACGTTGTGTGGTTTCGCTTCGTGGCAGTAGTAGGTAACACCACCGCACTATGCACTAGCGCCAAATTAAAATTCTGTTTACGAGTGTTAACCAACATTTTAATTCAACGAATTTTTCATCGAGAAAATTTGCCTTGCGCTTACAGATTTAAATCTTGTCTAATTTTTATTCCAAAATAAATATTCTACTTTAACTTAATTTTAAATTAATAAGGGCCGGTTTATCAATCTCTAGTTAAGTTCCAGTTAGTCTATCTGACAGTTAAATTCCATATCGATCGTTGTGAGAACAATGGTATCCATGGAAATTATCTAACAGATAACTAACTGCAACTTTAACTGGACATTGATAAACCGGCCCTAAGTGAAATTATTATTTACATATAAGTACCTACCTTTTTTAAATAGAAAAAAAATATGCATACAATATAAACTGAGGTATATATATCACACCAGAATGATGTAAATACATATGGAAACCTATCCAATACACCAAAAAATAAATTGGTAGATTTTAATTTATAATTAAATTTAATTTAGTAATTTTTATGGACGTTTATATTTTCTAGGCAATTTTTAATTTTGAAAATTTTTGTTTTGAGTTAATTTTTTGATGTAATTAAAAAGTAAAACGGCGTGCCATACATATCCCTGCAAGAAGTCACTAACTAACATTTTATTATTGAGCTTCAAGACAAAATAAATAAGCAAATAAATATATCTATTACATCAGTTTATAAACTATAGTGATTTTTAACCATGCAAAAACGACCATTAAATATTAAAGATATGGTAAATTTGTATTTGAAAACAAAGGCCCTATAATATTTTACAATTACAATTATTTTTTTATCCCAGACCAAAGACGACGAGACAGCGCTCCATTGCGCGGCCCAGTACGGGCACACGGAAGTGGTTTCTGTCCTGCTGGAACACGCCTGCGATCCGGGGATAAGAAATTGTCGCGGCGAAACAGCCTTGGAATTGGCAGCACAGTATGGAAGGTAAAATGCCATTCCCCTTCGAAAAGTACACCATCAATTTTGATGTAAAAAAATCGATAAATTTTTTTTTAGATTGGAAACGGTGGAACTGCTGGTCAGGACTGATCCATCTTTGATGTCGATTTTAAAAAGAACCGCACCTGACACCATTTTTCCACACACGCCTCTGCATTTGGCCAGCAGGAATGGACACAAGTAAGTTTTTTGTTATAGGTAAATAAAAAAATTAGGCTTTTGGTTTTTTAACAAACTTTGCGATAATTTTTATAAAATTATGGATTTTGAGCAAAATTATGGATTTTAATCACAAGCTTAAAATGCTTAATTTTGAATAAATCAAACTTTGCAATGAGTTTGGAAAATTATGGATTTCAATCATGGGCTCAAAATTATGGATTATGAAATTATTAATTGCAATAAAGGTTAAGGATAAAACTATCTTGATACTTTTTTCAAATTATGGATTTTAATCATAGGCTTAATTTTGAATGAAACAAACTTTGCGATGATTTTTAGAAAATTATGGATTTTAATTGCAGACTCAAAATTCGTGTTTTTGAACTGCCATAATTTTGGATTTTATTGGAAATTATGGATTTTAATCACGGGCTTAAAATGCTTTATCTTGCGATAATTTTTAGTAAATTTTGTATTTTAATTATAGGCCCAAATTGCTTTATTTTAAAAGAAACAAACTGCGATGATTATTTTAAAGAATTATGGATTTTAAGGGTAAAATGCATGTTTTTAAAATTGTAAATCTATGGATTTTGATAAAAATTATCAAGGGATCAAAATGCTTCATTTTTATTTAATAAAAAAACTTTATAATGCTTTTTTAAAAATTATAGGTTTTAAGCGAAATTATGGATTTCAATCTCAAAATGCTCAAATTTTAAACTTTGCGATAATTTTTAGAAGATTATGGATTTTAATCACATACTCAAAATTCGTGTTTTGAACCGCGATAAATATGGGTTTTATTGGAAATTATGGATTTTAATCATTAAAAAATGTAAAAATAAATGTATGCATTTTGATAAAAAATTATTTATTATGAATTAAACAAACTGCGATGATTTTTTAAAAACTGTGTGTTTATTGGAAATTATGGATTTTAATCACGGGCTCAAAATGCTTAATCTTGAATGAAGCAATGCGATGATTTTTAGAAAATTATGGATTTTAATCATAGTCTCAAATTGGTTAATTGCGTGTTTTTAAAATTTTAAACTTATTGGTGATGATTATAAACTTTTTTTAAATTATGGAGTTCGAGCAAAATTATTGATTTTAATCATAGGCCTAATAAAACAAACTGAAATGATTTTTTTAAAACTGGATTTTAATCGGAGCTATGGATTTTGATCACAGGCTCAAATTGCGTGTTTTTTATGAAACAATTAAATAATTTCCGACAATTTTTAGAAAACATGGATTATGAAAATATGAATTTTATTAAATGATTATAATCATGCTCAATATGCCTGGTTTTGAAATCTACAATTTTTGCGACGATTTTAGAAAATTAGGGATTTTGATCGAAATTATAGATTTTATTTTAAACGATGCTCTTTGCAATGATTTTTAGAAAATTGGTAATTTTGTATTTTAATCCTCGGCATGTTTTCAAACGAAAAACAAACTGCTATGATTTTTAGAAATCTATGTATTTTATTTAGAAACATGGATTTTGATCACCTACTCAAAACGCTTATTAATTTAATCAAAATGATGGCAAAATTTGGTTGACGAAAATTTCTCAATATTCATGAGATCCGGCGGCTTCACGCGTATTTATCAATTAAACAAGTCGTATAATTGAAATTCCACACCTTGTGTATCGTTAATTAGCGACCACGCAAACACAAAGGTATTAATACGTATCTATTGTGGACGTCGGACGCCCATTTGACAAATTAAATTAGGTCGCAAAGCGTGCCGAGCAAAAATAAATGCCCACAAACAAAATTAAACCTAAAAAAGCATTTGTCTTTATATCATTTTTAAACCTCTATTATGTTAAACATTATTATTTATAAGCCCACAAAGAAGTGTGTCAATTCCGGTGTAGTAATATACTTAATAACTTCTGCTTAAATGAATTCGGATCATCCTGATGGAGCTGTAGTGGCGACAAGACACAATAAGGACAAGCCGTCCGCGGGCATAGTCCGGAAAATGCATATTGAGGCACTCGATCGTAAATATATTAAGTTAATTAGCAATTATAGACGTCAGAATGGCAAGTTACGGTTGTTGTCGATTGCTAGCAGGGCCGATTCCAAGCCGACCATAAACCCCGTCCGTTCTACCGGATTGATGCATTGATGTGCTTATATAGGTGTATAGTATACACCGTATACTGCACTGTCTGGTGTGTATGTGTTACATACGCAGTGACGGCCTCAAAATTTGTTGTCGAATTTCTTTAGATGCCTTTTCAATAGATCTTTGATTGCATCATGTTTAGTTTGTAAAAATTAGTTTGTACCTATTATTTGGTTAAAATTAACAAATATTTTTTACTGTGTAACTATATAAAGTATTCTAAAATATATTTTGGCCCAGGGCGTCACGTTTTCTAACCCCGACACTGCACTACGTGTGTATGTAATAAACAAGCTGTTGCAACCGCGTTGCCTAGGCACCTCCCTCTACCCCCCTCTGGCCCCCACAATTAACAGGTAGTTGAGCACCAGCTAGATTATTCCCATACACGAAATTGTTGCATAATTATCTTATATATCTATTATTAATCTATAATAGACTGTGTTGCAATACGTTCATCATGTAATCTTCTTGCCTTTGGCATTAGCGGGGCATTAGCCACGCTCCAAGATCCCATCCAACAGTCCCCCAAGTTTAACGGATGCTCCGGCGCGACCTTTGATCTTCCGACATTCGTACGTATTGGAAGTATCTCAATTTGCTAATACAATGGAACGCAACTGTAATCAAGTAATGCAAATAGCCCTTTACTAAGATGTAATGTGCTGCATTGCCCTATTTTTTAGGGTCTGGACTTTTTTTATGTCTATGGCGTGTGGTCCCTGTAAGGCTATTTCCGATCTACATGACGGTGAAGAATTCTAAAGTTTGAGTTTTGAATTTAAAAAACACGGAATTGTTGTCACAAAACAAGAAGTTGAATCCTTCTCGAGGACCAAGCATGTTTAATATCAGCATCTCAAGGTCTCTGTACTTACTAAAAACGTAAGATCTGAGCCAATTTCTTCTAGTTTTGGTCCTGTTGAAACATGTTCCCCGCTACTAACGCTCGCCAAAATTCTCTTTCTATGTCCAACTTTATCGATATCCAAAACAGCTGACAACTCGACATCCCGTATTCTTTTTATGCGTTCCATATCGTGCCACGATAATCGTGGTATAAATGCTGTTTCGCAGTACTGTTCCAGATTAATGCGTTTCAACCACTTTTTGACCGTGCTATTCGCGCAGTTGCCGTTTTGGTCGTTGATTTTTAAGGGTATCTTTTTGATGGCTTCTATGAGCTGATGCCTTTCGATTTCACTTGTGATGCTCATGTCTCGTAGGTCCGAATCCTCAATAACTCCATTCTACAATTATTATTATGATTATAAAACTATATACGAGAAACAAAAACCTTTTATTTTGAAACATGTTATGAACAAAGAAAATGACATGTTGATATCTTCAGGAGTTCATAAAATAGTCTCTAGAATTTAGGCTTTGAATGATACTTACTAAAAAGTTTATGTCATTGAACCCATTGGTGACAAACAGGCTGACATAATCGTCCATTTCCAAGCCTTGCAACCACTTTTCCACTGATGGTGATTTGGCATCGGAGGATAAACTATTTTGTGAGCAACTTATGGTCATCAACCTGCTCTGGAACTCTTTCTCCAGCTCTGCCACAAAGATCGACGTACGATTCCGGTACCAAACGAGGCCATAATTTCTTGAATCTTGACCCATTCCTCTTGTTCGTCAAAAGGACTCAAAGCCGACATTCTGTCTTTGTGCTCCTTGTTTTCCGATTCTTTCTCGGAACTCGACGATTTCTCGTTATCGCTCTTGGACGAAGCGTCGCCGTTATCGTAGACGCGTTTTAGTTTCTTTAAGGTTTTTGACCGCTGAGCCGGCGTATTGGAGTTATGTTCTCTAGTATCCGGGCCGAACCTTTTAGAAGTCCTAGAAGTTTCAGTTTGACCCAAATTGTTTATTCTGACAAACTCTTAAATGATGTTATCAGAGTGAAAACTTGAGTTCCTCTTTTCAGGAGCGTCGTTGAGGTGCTTCTTAGTGCCGGTTTCAACGTGAACATGAAAACAAAAGCGGGCACCGCTCTGCACGAAGCCGCTCTGTGCGGGAAAGTGGAAGTGGTGCGGACTCTTTTGGAGCACGGAGTGAATACCTCCATAAGAGATTCAAACAATTTCACCGTCATGGACTTGCTGAGCCAGTTCAACACTGCGCAGGCATCGCAGGAGATCATTAATCTACTCAAACGTAAGTCGAGGTGTTTTTGTGGTGAAAAACATTGTTTTATCGAAACTCTAGGTTACAAAAAAGGTCTTCCAATCGGAGACAGCGACGCGGATAGCGTCAGCCAGCCGTTTCCCACTTTCACGCATACGGATTCGGATCTGGGAAGTCCCTACGAAAACGTGAGACCGTGCTCGAAAAACGCCCGTAGCGTGGTCTCGGAACTTTCGCCCGGCACTTCGCCGCAACGATGGGACTTCCAACGACACGCCAGACCTCCCGAGCAATTCGATGATAGACGGGTTTCTGGAGTCTCTGGAATATCCATGTAAGTGAATTTGTCCAAAAACAAATATTAGAAATATTCCACAACTCAGTTACACTTCGCTTCTGAAGATGCCAACATCGTTGGCGAAAAGTACTTTAAGCACTTTGTGTTTTGTTTTGGTGTTGGGGAATATATTTAATATTTGTTCAACATATCACCAAAGTTTTCCTTTTTCAAGTAGTTACATTTGTTAATAAAGAAGAAATAAATTACTCAAGCACACCGTTTTTTTTGGTTGGCACTTAACACGTTTTCGTTGGTTTTAATTATGTTTTTGATTATGATTTTTTGTTGTGTTTTTTGGCACATTTAGCATGAAACGCACTATACCAAAAAACGGCACCCAATCACCTGAGAGCAGCTATGTGGAAATGAAATTTCCAACGTAAGGTTTTTATTATTTTTTTTTGCTTTTTATTATTTTTTTGGCGCTGCACGGGCATGTTTTAGGCGCAATACCAAATCCTACCAAAGCTTACCGATCCTAAAACGGAAACCGCGTACCCGTAGTAACCCGACGGTGCCGCTAGATGGCATCACGTTTGCTTTTTCGGAATCTTTGGAAAACAGAAAAAACAGCACTTGTTCAAATTCGTCCTATTACACAGCTTTAGATACTATGTCCCTGAGAGGTTCCCAGTCTTCAAGGTACAGTTTTACTGGGTTTAACGGCTTATGGGTTAACTAACTGCTTGTTTTGAATATATTTAATAATCTTGGGTAAAAAACAGACAGCTAGCTGCCGTCTTGATAAAAAAAATGGTTTATACTCACTTTCTTTATAAGGGCGGCAAAAAGTTGTTTGCTCCTAGCTCGCTAGAATTTGCTTGTCGGGGATAGACGAAAAACCTTTTATATCTTGCAGGGAAAGTGATAACAGTCTCTACCACATTCCCTGCGTGCCAAAAGCTTTTATGGATAGCGTTCACTCCGAGGACCTAAATTATCTTTGCACTAGTAGAGAGTCCGACCAGATCAGTTTGTCTTCGACTGCTAGCAGCTGCGGCTATCCTAGAAGACCTGATAGCGGGGGAGTACCTTTATACATACCAATGAACAATTCCAGGGGTGGGCATAGTCCTGGATCCAACAGCAAGGTTTCGGTAAGTTAAAACTTGACCAAGAATTGCCCTTTCACCTTTGGAAAAGTTTTGCCAATATAAAACTTAATATTCCTATGATTTTTCTGCAATCGCGATAGCCAACAATAATTGATCAAGTTGTGCCCAATAATATGCAAAAGCAGTTTTGTTAGGTAGGTTACCGTTGGTTTAATTTTGGGAATGTTTGTGCATGGAAAAAAGATGCCAAATTGATGTTTATTTGGGCAAATATTAGACTTGAAAAATTCACCAATGACATGATATTTTAAATAATAAAATTTAAAAAAAAATATTGTTTTTTATGAAGAATCCTAAAAAAAGTTTTTCAATTTGTTTTGTAAGATAAGGCTTTTCTTTGATTTCTGAAACTACAGCCCCAGGAGGAGGAAATCTCGTGTTCATGTATACTCTACAAAAAATACCTTTATACGTGTTATAATATTATGAGGCAAATAGAATTACGATAAGGCTATCAAGAATTACGTTTTATTAAACATTAAGGACTTATTGTAAAATTGTTTGTGATTGGTAACTTTATATGTTATGAAGAACTTCTAAAAAAAAAGAAATCAATGCAAACATTACAATTACCTTACTCACTTCAGGCACTATAAACCCAATAAATCTTCTTTTTTTTCTGTGACATATAGGTAGAAAGAAGTCTTTATTTTCATGCATTTTTTGTGCTATCGCGTTGGCAAATGATTGGCATTAATATAATATTTTTGGTCAAACCAATTGCTTTCCATTCTTTTGATAATGATTAGTTTGGGAAACCATTTGTTTGACAAAATGGTAGTTTGCATATTTCTTTGCAGCCAACACCTCCTAAAAAACCTCCGAGGAGGAACATATCGATCTCTCCCACTCACATACAACACATGTCGATGTCGGTCGACGGTGTTGCCAATAACGCGTACGAGTACGTGTATCTGGCAACAACGGGGACGAGAAGTCAGGGTAACTTGATGGAGATGGAGCCGGAGCCGGCTAGACGCGAGAGGTTAGCCCACGGAAGATCCATGGATCAGTACGTGGAGATGAACGTTTTCAACATCGCGTTGGACGAAGAGGAGCATGTTTTGGTTAAAGGCAACAAAGAGTTGCAGAGGGGTAAAAGCGAGGATTTGGATTGCAGAAAGCGACCCGAACCCATCGCAATAACCTCCACCTATCAAAACACTGTAATAAAACAGCAAAACCCAAGACGGAGACTGAGAAGAAACCTGGATTACGAGGATTACGACTTCAAGAAGACTTCGTCGTCTGCACCGGAAACCACGTTCGTTTCTTCGGCGTACATCATGGTGTCGGACGATTCGGAAAGAGAAACCAAGACTACCAACCGCAAAAAGCTAAACCCGCTGAGTCCCACGCACTACAACCAACCCCCCACCCCGGATCACCCCCCGCCCAACGCGATGCAAGCCGAGAGTTTCATACACGAAAAAATACGACCGTTAAGTCAGGTGAGCTCGTAGATTGTTTGAGGCATGGCGCATTTTTATCCCAGTATTTTTTACGTAATCTTACGTAGTTAGGTTTGCTATACAGGGTGTTTGGTTGAGGACATTCCTTATTACGTGACGGGGTGCCCAGTTGTTTCTGGCTACCCTGTATGGCCATTTATGTTTAGCCATTTCCATTAAATTAGGTTGTTAACTTTCGTTTATTGCTCTGAACAAATAAAACTGTACAACATAATATGTATACTATTTTAATTCGTAGAATTAACGTGATATTTTTATGTATTTTATTTCGGTATAAAACGCCCTGTATATAGGATGTTAATGTTGATTTGTGAAACTGTTATTATTTTTTATTTACAATAAAGCTTAAGCATTTTGTTTTTTTTTTGTTTCTATTTTTTTCCTGCATAATTTCCGCACAAAATATTTACTTAAGGTAAGTGAAAAGTTTTATGAACACTGCACAGTTGCTGGATCTTTAGTTATGCATGCATTTTATAATAATAAAATCTAAAATAACAAAAAAACCTGAACCAAACAATCCTGCTACCTCCAGGAATACAAGCGAAGATCTCGCGACATAGAGACCGAGACAGATGAAGAATACCTCCTCGTCTGCGACGAGTCTAGCAGCTTCTCGAGCAGCGTATCTCTCTCCGATCGAAGCACCGACAACATTATAGAAGATTACCACTCGGATGCGCCCTTCGCAGGTTTGTATTGTAGAAAGAAAAGAATTTGGGTCAAACTCAAACTTCTAGGTCTTCTAAAAGGCTCGGCCCGGGTACTGGAGAACATTAACTCCAATACGCCGGCTCAGCGGCCAAAAACCTTAAAGAAACTTAAACGCGTCTACGATAACGGCGACGCTTCGTCCAAGAGCGATAACGAGAAATCGTCGAGTTCCGAGAAAGAATCGGAAAACAAGGAGAACAAAGACAGAATGTCGGCTTTGAGTCCTTTTGACGAACAAGAGGAATGGGCCAAGATTCAAGAAATTATGGCCTCGTTTGGTACCGGAATCGTAAGAGAGTCGGTCTTTGTGGCAGAGCTGGAGAAAGAGTTCCAGAGCAGGTTGATGACCATAAGTTGCTCACAAAATAGTTTATCCTCCGATGCCAAATCACCATCAGTGGAAAAGTGGTTGCAAGGCTTGGAAATGGGCGATTATGTCAGCCTGTTTGTCACTAGTGGGTTCGATGACATAAACTTTTTGGTAAGTATCATTCAAAGTCTAAATTCTAGAGACTATTTTATAAACTCCTGAAAATATCAACATGTCATTTTCTATGTCCATGACATGTTTAAAGAATAAAAGGTTTTTGTTTCCCTGCTTAAAATACCCCATAGTCTCTATGGGCCATAGAGACCCTGTTCAAACCGATAGATATTCGTATCGGAATGTATGGTGTTTCTATAGGGTGTATCGGTTTGTATAGGACCCATAGTTGAGATTTATGGTTGTTCTATAGGGATATCCACCGTTGATTTATTTGCTATCGGTTTCAATGGGGAAAATACACATAAATATAGAAATTAGTTTTTCCCCTATAGAACCCCATAGGTTTTAATAAAATTTTGTCAAATGTTTTATGGTTGCTATAGGGATATCCCTATTTATCCTTCATTGAGATATTTGCTATCGGTCTCAATAGGGAAAATGTAAAAGTTATGGTGTGCCTATAGGTAATTTCCTATACATTTTCTATCGGGCTGTATCCGGAAAAAACCATGGACAAATGCACATATTGAAACCGGTAGCGCCCGATAGATTATTTTGTATAGGTCTCTATGGGGTATTTTAAGCAGGGTTCTCATATATAGTTTTATAATCATAATAATAATTGTAGAATGGAGTTATTGAGGATTCGGACCTACGAGACATGGGCATCACAAGTGAAACCGAAAGACATCAGCTCATAGAAGCCATCAAAAAGCTACCCTTAAAAATCAATGACCAAAACGGCAACTGCGTGAATAGCACGGTCAAAAAGTGGTTGAAACGCATTAATCTGGAACAGTACTGCGAAACTTTTGACAAGCATTTATACCACGATATGGAACGCATAAAAAGAATATGGGATGTCGAGTTGTCAGCTGTTTTGGATATCGATAAAGTTGGACATAGAAAGAGAATTTTGGCGAGCGTTAGTAGCGGGGAACATGTTTCAACAGGACCAAAACTAGAAGAAATTAGCTCAGATCTCACGTTTTTAGTAAGTACAGAGACCTTGAGATGCTGAAATTAAACATGCTTGGTCCTCGAGAAGGATTCAACTTCTTGTTTAGTATCAGCATATTCTTGACAACAATTTCGTGCCGTTTTTTAAATTCAAAACTCAAGGTCTAAAACTGTTTTAGAAGGCCAATCGACCAGCCAATGAGATGCCTTCACCGTCATCTAGATCGGTAAATAGCCTTACAGGGACCATACGTCATAGACATAAAAAGTCCAGACCGGCTCCGCAACCCCCGGTCAGACAGGAGGAACCCAAAAAAAATCCGGGGGAAATTTTCGTGGGGGGGAATAATTCCATTAGATCCCAATGGAGGCATCAACCTATTTTGCTTATTACAGGTTGTGCCAAATATAACGCTATGGTAAGTTTGTTATGGGTAGTTTTGTGAAGGTTTTTTTTTACATTTGTTTGTAGTATCTGGGGTCTACTTCAGTGGTTGACTTTAAAGGTATTGAAAGTAGTAAAAAGTCTATGCAAAAAGTTTTAAAGAATAAAGAAAGATCCAGTGAGGAGGTTTGTCTTTCGATTTCGTACAAAGGGGTTAAATTTGTTAGCCCCAATACACAGGTACTTTTATCCAACATATACCAAATAAGTTGTCCTTTAAGGGGATGATAGTACACGCCAAAACAAACGTCATTTTTGCTTTAGTTTTTTAAATATTTCTAAGTAAAGTTAATATTTTGGGCCACCACTGGTTGTTCCTGACCTTGACAACTGAGTAAAACAATACTTACTTTTTATTGTTAGGTATCTCGAGGTTTCGGTGGTTTTTCCAGTCGATTTTAAATTTCATCTTTCACTTTTTACCTCGATTAATGCTCATGTGGCTATTTTTTTAAGTGTTCCACAAAATCATAATACATGTTCAACTATCCCGCTGTTATTATCCACACAAAATTGACGTGTGTGCTCTTGCTATCATATCCAGATGATTTCGGATTTCATCTGCCGCTGCAGTGAAAAGTTTGCGGAGCTGTTCTAAAGTGTATCTACTACCCGATTTTAAATAAGTTTAAAAGTTTGCTTGATATTACATATTACACTGTTTCTTTTTTGCTTGGATCAATAATATTATTGTTTTTAGAGGTAAGATGCAAAAATGATAAAGTAAAAACTTTCTTGTTTTGGCATGTACTATCATCCCAGCAACGATGACAATTTATTAGGTGATATAGATGGAATTATTTTTTTATTTGCAGCAAATTATTTGCGACCACGATATTAAAAACATGAATTGCGCATGCCAGGATATGGATAATCAAAACATTTTCGCTTACATAACTACAGACTCCGAGTTGTATTATTGTCATGTTTTTGAAGCTTCATCCCCAGTAAGTACCAACGTAACTCTTATTGAAGTTATTTCTATCTCTTCAAAAGATGTCAAGAAAATAAAGTCGATAGGGTTTAAATCGCAACTTTTTGGTGGCCAATTAGCTAAACCTTGTTTTTGCAGGAGCAAGGAACTGACATAATCCTAACGCTCGGTCAAGCTTTCGAGTTGGCTTACCAGATGGCGCTGAGAGACCAAGTGACGAGCAAAACGAAGCAAAAAACCGAGAACAAACCTCCGGTCAGCCCGGGCTCGGTTTCGTCGCACAGCAAGGATACCAGAACGGCCGATTTCAAGTTGAACGGACATCCGTTGAAGATGAAACCGTTGACGTTGTCGATAGCAGCCGAACCGTTCTGCGACAACCAGGTGCAAAAAACTCCGACAAAGATGCACTTGAGTGACGCGTAAGTTTTCTGTTCAAATTTTTCATCGATAATGATTGGCTTTGTTTTAAGCGGTTGTTTAAGTGACTTTTAAGTACCAGATGGTCCAAATTATTCTTCATTCTGGAATGAAATATAATATTTATCACTTGTCTGTCATTTCGACTTCTTTCCAAGATTATCCAGAGAATAAAGTCGAAAGGGCTTAAATCTGGCCAATTTGGTTTCCCAATCACATGTTCTTGATGTGTGACAACTCTGTATTATAGGAGAAAATTGGATGTTTTTATTTCAGGATTTGTCAGCAGTTAATATCTAATGAAGCAAATTGTATTGATGTTTTATTAATTAAAAACAAAATCCAAATTTTAATTGCAAATATTGTTTTTCAAAATATTCTTCATGCAGATTATGTCGTCCATTATTTACATTAGCAACTTCGCAAACTAAAAGTTACTTAAACCAAATGTCTCATTCCTTTTAATTATTTTATTGGTTTAAACATATCATAACCTTTGTTACATTCCTCCAAGTATACCTACAATCCAACATACTTTTTCAATAATATATAATTATTATCAGTGTTGCACTATATTAAAATCATTTTGGTTGTGAGTTAATTAAGGGCTGCTTAACATCGATGCGCAGTAATATACATTTTACTGTCACTTACTGCGCATCAATTGTTTGCGCATGCTCTATTCGCTTTAAATGTCATTTAACTACTATACTTGATGTTTTTGTGTAATAAATTGAATACAAGCGTGCTTCCTTTGTATTTTGAAGAGTACACCACATGTTTGGTACTTTTGTACTGATGAGCACTGCCATATAATTAACATATACATACATATTTATTAAAACATCATACTTGTTTTTTCTATATCATATTCATTATAAACATATTGATAAAAACAATTAGCTATAAATATACGTGTAAATATTCTATATAAATGTTTTAAGTGTTGCCAAAATTTAGAAATCTATTAATACATCCTTTTATCAACTCATTTTGGTTCAATCATATTAAATTTGGTGCTCAAAATTTTTGTGAATCTATAGAATGGATGATATCGAGTGGTTTTAAACAAATTAAAACAAAAAGATTTTTTGTTATAATTTGCGACATGCAGAAAAATATGTTGTGAGTGTAAAATATACAGGGTTATTCAATTTTATGAGACCAAACTTTAAAAAATTGATAATTTTGTATATCCACACTAAACTACGGTTGTGTAGGCCTATAAAAATGAACAACACCAAAAAACAAGTAAATTTTTGTGGTTTCATCACGATGAAATTTTGACAAAAATTAAACCTCATACATTTTAGTTTTTGAATTAGCTATAGCTATACGTATAGTTCTGTTAGAATCTATATGTTAGAATATAAATAATTTTATATGTAATAAAATTAAGAATAATTTTTTATGACGTCTCACATACCTGTAAAATACAAAACCATGGTTTTTTACATTAAATGTGCAATTTTAATTTGTGAATATTGCTTACATTACTTAATAATATCTTATCACAGGTTTTTTTTTAATTTATACAACACTGTGAAACTGAAAAAGGCTCATTAACTTTTGCTTTTAAAAATGCATTATTAAAAATATTTGCATTTTTAAATTTAAACATATAATTCGTTAAAATGTTTCCATAAAATACACCCAAAAAATATTTACAATATAAAATTGCATTTAAAAATTAAATGCTCAAGTAAATCCTGTGTATTTTTTAGCAATAATCATTTGCCATTCCACTATTTTTAGCTTGGATAAAATCCAAATATAATCAGTTGAAAAAATATTTATGAAAAATGTTTCACACATATTTTTACTACTGATTAATTGTAAAAATTTGTGATTATTATGTTATGCATTTTTAAAATTTAATAATACTATATAAAAATAACAATGTAAATATGTTAGAGAAAGAATATATATAGAAGCTTTAAAATTATTAATTAAGCGACAGGTTCGCGCAAAAATGCTCTATCTCTCATCGTGTTTATTTTTCCAGCTCTTGATGGTATAGGTTTTGAATTAATTGTTTGTTTATACTTATTTATATTAGGTTCTACATACCAACTTTTTAAATTTCTTTGTTATATCGTATACAAAATAATTATCGTCTTGTGTGTTTCGTTGTTTATCTATTTACTTACAATAAATTTTATTTAAAAGCAAAATGTGTTGTTTTTTTGTCATATATTTTGCTGCACTGTAATTGAAAACTGCCCTTACATACATAAATTTTAAAACATCGAAATAGAAGCATACATTTCGAAAATGGTAAGACAAATTGGCACAGTGCCTTAAAATTAATAAATGGTATGACAAATTCGCACAGTGGGGCAAATTAAAAAATATTAGGAAAATCCATGGTAGATCAAAATTAAAAAATTGCGGGGAAAATTGGCACAGTGTCACATATCAAAAATTAAATTTTTTGTTAATTTAACTGTCTGTAAAAACATCACTTTAAGTGTTGTAACGTATCTAGTTACAAGTAACTAGATACAGTATCTAGATACTTTTTATGTATCTGTTTGTGTAACTAGTTACTTATCCCAATCTAGTAACTATAACTGTAACTACTTACAAATTCTAAGTAACTAGGTGTGTTAAGATACAAAGATACATTTTTAATTAAACTGCGACTATTATTTATTAAAAAAAATATATTATAAAAAATAAGTTATTTTAAATAAAATATTATAAAAAAAATAAAAAAATAATAAACATGTATATTTTTGTTGTCACTTTAAAATTCCCTTTTATTTCTATTTTAAATTTTTTAAAGCAAAAAATAATTTGTATGTATCTTAAAGTATCTAGATACTTTTTGAAGGTAACTGTATCTGTAACTAGTTACTGCAATAAAATATGTATCTGTATCTAGTTACAAATTTTGGTAAGTAACTGTAACTGTAGCTAGATACTGAAAATATTGTAACTGTTACAACACTGATTAAAGTGCTAAACATTTTATACACCTAATACAAAGTATTTTTTTAGAAATTTGGTTATTATGGGATTTAAAGAATCATCTGTGATAGACTTTATTAATAAACATTTCCCTTTTCAAGTAGGTACATTTTATTATAATTTAACTGTTGTGACTATAAAAGTTTCCACCCTTCTTATTTTCTATTTCTACATCTGTTCTACGGACTGCAACCACTCGAAAGCTCGTTATTATCATGTTTACATACAAATTAAAGTATTAAGTGTAACGAGGTCAATCTCGAGCAAAAACACAAACACAATAACATTTGCAAGTATTGGAGCAGATTTTCGAGAGCTCGACCACTTGACGCTTCAGTTCGATGCAGCCTTTCAAGGGTCTCGAAAATTGAAAACAAATGAATTAAGAGAAAACTAAGTACGTCATTACAGTTTTGTCATTTGTTTAATGTTTTATTTGTTGGGGGTTTTGTCTTCGATTGGCTCGGATCTTACGAGTCAACTGATTTAATTTAGAAGTACTTTTTAGTTGAATATTTTAAAATAATGTTAACTCACTTTTTGTAAGCTATGATTTCTTACTTCTTGGGCAAAGTTAGGCGATAAATTTGTCTTGCGTCGGTAATATTTTACCGGCAGATTTATGTGTGTTAATTTGTTAAGTCATTATAAGAAAGGGGAGAGTGCAAAAAAGTTTGTTTTTCGGTGTAAGTTATCTGGCGTCCCTTTTGCGTCGATGACGATGCAAAACTGCGCACTGTTAGGGTATTTCGGTATTATCGCACAGTTAGGAAAAATGAGATTTTTATGGAAACTGTCCTACTTTCAAGATATGTAAATTAATATTTTCTGAAAAAAAAAACAAAGGAAAAACGAAATATTTTGAAAGTTTATGAAAATTTCTTCTATAAACCCTTTTTAATTTTTTCAAAGACCCATTAAAAAGTCTTTTAATAAAAACTATAAATTATAATAATAATAAATTATAAATAATTAATGGGGGTACAATCTAAAAAAAATGACCGATTAGTCAGAGATTTGACAAAAATGGCGGAATACATACACTGTTAAAAATTTCTATTGTAATTTTACTAGGAAGTTTTTACGCACCACAATATAGTAATAATAAAACTCAGTTTTGTCAGTAGGTAGCATTACTATACAAGTATTGTAATTTTGCTAAAAAAATACTAAATATGTTCAGTAATTTTAAAATGATGTATTGTAATTATACTATACAATTTATTTCAACTCACTTTAAGAAAATTACAAAATATGTTTTACAATTTGAACTGAAGAAAATATGTTTCGCAATATTACAATACAAATATTGTTATTTTGTACTACAAATTACACTTGTAATTATACTACGAAAAAAAAACTGCAATTTTCTTAGTTTCTTCGGGAAACTTTCTTGACCCATTCCTGTAAAGATTTTGAAAAGTTGAACCTTCACCTCGCCAGAGTTTTTGTTTAAAATGCTTTCCACCAACTTCAAATACCGACAGATACCTATATCGGTATTATCAATATAGGTCAATTTGGTGAATTGGAACACGCCAAAAACGAAAGACACCTGACCTTATATACTGTCCACCTAAGTAAACCGAGGCGAGATGTAAGAACATCGCGTTATTGCCGCAATCGGTATATATTATGCATTTTACATAAAATAATAGCAAGATGATGCTTTTTATTAGAAACTGTCAAACTGTTTAGTAAAATTACAATTCGTGTAGGATTTATACATATAGATTGTAAAATTACAACTTATCTTAGTAGATTTCCCAACATGTCTTGGATCAAATTGTATTATACTTTTGTATTGGTATAGGTACACTGATTTGTAATTTTACTCATCCATTGTTTTGAAAAACAATTGTAATTTTACATAAAATTTTAACAGTGTACATGATTAAAATGATATATAGTGTAACGGACGGGGCAAGGGGGCACACGTTAATAATAACAAAGAATATTAAAACCACAAAAAAACTACCTTTGGCCAAAACACGCGTGATCGTCTAGTTTAAATAAATTAATTTAGGACCCCTTTTGTTGTGAATACGGTTCTGGATACGTAAGTACTTGAGCAATTGAAAAGATATTTAAAAAGCAAAGAAAAAGTATTAAATTAAAATAAGTTTATTAAAAAAAGCAATTAATACAAGAGTTAATATTATTGCTACTGTACATTAATAATATAAATAAAAACGTTTGTATTTGAAAATTATCATTGATTTAAGTTAATAAGGTACAACCTTAAAAACCCACATACACAATTCAGACATGCATATGTGTCGCACATCTCCACAATATAAATTATACAACAAAATCAAAGTAATCAATATGAAACAATTATATTATCATATTGCTAAGATTATTTACCTACTTAAATAATAGGCTCGGACGGTGTAGAAAAGCAAATACAAATTGAAACAATTATCAATGTACAGCAACAAACAACAATAATGTGAAACATAAAGTATAATATAACTTAGGACACAAACAACATTAATAAATGGTATTTGTATAAATAAAATATATAAATAACAAGTGATATAGTGGTGGACCAGAGTTATGCAATTAAATTGATGTACAGTCATAAATGATAGATACAATCAGGTATATGATAAAGTAATAAAATGTCATAAAAACTCACATCATGAGCCCTATCTAGCATTCATTGTCAAAATGGGTGAATTGATAATTATAAGTCTCCGGGCTCGACCCCCTCGACCGTTACCAACACCGTTAAACAATAAAAGAAAATTCTAACAAGTGTTTGGTTTGGGGAAATTGCAACAAAGCCTCAACATATTAAATAATGAATATAAATTTATCAAATAAATAAAATTAGATAAACTGTACAAAATAAAGTATGTAAATGTTAAATATAAATATGTAGTAAAATGTAAAATTACATTACAATATAATATGTTAAAGTAAATGTAATATAAATATAATAATTATAAACATAAAATAATGATTATAATAAATTTGTAA